CCAGCCTTCTGGTTATTAGTCAAGTGCTTTAGCCACTATGCTACCAGAGCTCCTTATAATAGTAGGACAAAAAATTTGAAAATATTCACAACATTGCAATGTGTATTTTTTTTTTCAGGTGAGAAAAATAAATTAGGGGCAAAAGGAGCAAATGTCATAATAATTTTAGTAATTTCTCAACATTTCAAAAACTATAAGCATAATTTTATTCCCATATAAAATGATCATCTTAAAAATATGTTTTAAAGTTCCAAGAGCAGAAGGAAAATTTAAAGGAAAGTTGCTTTTACTTTCCCCAATTTTCTCCCAAGTTTTCAAGAAAAAAATCTTGGAAAGAAGTCTCTTTACTCATTTTGGAACTTTCTCTTGCCAGTGAGTTAACAAGTCAGTACCGTATAGTTACCACGGCAATGTCAGGACCATGCAGAGAAAGAGAGAGAGAGAGAGAGAAAGAAAGTGTGGAGTGCAGACAGGGAGATGAGGAAAATGGATTAACAATTTGAGTGAATAGGGGACTTTTTAATTTGGAAAAAAAGAAAAAATTAAGTTGTACTACAGGAAGAAAGGCTTGACACTCTGCTTCTGTAAAGATCACACACAGTCAGGAAAACCTTCCGGAACAGCTCTACTCTGCAACACATGGGGTCGCCAGGAGTCAGAGTTGACTTGATGGCACCAAGTGGCCGTACTAACAGTTCTAACATATGTTGTTATTAGGGAACTGCATTGTAATAAGACCTTTATTTTCCCATGTTGCCTTGTTCAGGTGGGCACATGATTTCTCTCCAGTTATATCCCAGTCTTTGTAACACTGTATGGATTCATGTCGAAATAGTTCCCCTGCATTAAAGTTAGACAAAGATATTATTCGTTTGTAAAATCAGAAGCATTTTTTCCATGAGTTCGACTTGAAACCTTGGATTCATCCAGACCCTTCCAGACAATGACTACTCCCAAAGCATTACAAATATCTGCTGCTTAAATAAATGTACTTTTGTCAGACACAGGTAACCACTCATCAAATGTTTGTCCATTTTTCTAGGACTGAGGCTTCAGTTTCAGAAAAAACTCATTTTCTCTCTTTATTTTTCTTCAGGTACAATCCTTGGATTTACTCTCCGACCGTACAAAATGAGCTACCGGGAAGTCAAGTATTTTGCCTTTCCTGGAGAACTTCTGATGAGGATGTTACAGATGCTGGTCTTACCCCTTATTGTCTCCAGTCTTGTCACAGGTACCACATGCAGTTATTTTTAAGTGCGCTTCTTGCAAAAGATTGCTTAGAAAACCCAATGCTTTAGGTTTCTGCTGGATGCATGCTCTGTTCTTAAAAAAAAAAAAAGAGTCCCTTCAAATGATGGAAAGGGGGCTTTAGTAATGCATGAATGATTATAACTCTCATATTTTACCAATCACAAGAGGAAACGGATTTAAACAGCCACGTAATCTGGTCTACCTCACTATGAAAGAGGTGCTCTGCTAAACACCACACAACCAGCCTTCTCTGACCACAGTGATGTAGTTGACAACAGCGTACAACAGGTCTGTTTTCTCACCCTCTTATCCCACCCAGATAACATCTGGTTGGACAGCCTATTAGCTATTGATGCAAGAATGCTTGTTCTCAGAGCCACCAGGACTTGAGCGGGAGCCTTCTTGGAAGCCTCAGCAAGAGGTAATGCCCACCACACATTCACCAACTCTGCTGCCACCAACACTTTATCTTTTTCTGGTATACCCGCATGATCTCATTTCCTTCTCCAGTTATCCCCCCATTCCCATTACCTTTTATGCTGCTGGGAAAACGGGGAGGGGGTGGGAGATTTTCCCATCTGATATATCATCAGTGGACACTTGGATTTTCAGTGAACGGAAGCTTGCAGGGTAGGATTCTGTTTTCTATGACAGGGAGGTAATTTACTTCTGCGTGGGAAAAGGTCATTTGCATATGTGGCTGGTGAATATAAAAGAAGCCAAGAAGTTGCAGAAAAAACGTTACTGCGCATTCCTTCCTGCCCATTCTTCTCTTTCCCCATGGCACAGCTCTGACTTGGAGAAGGCATTTCTATAGATTCTGCCTGAACAAGATGGTTTCTGGGTTTGTAGCTAAAGCTAGAAATTGGGTGTTAATGACCCTGCTCTCCTGCTTCCCTTGGCTCGCTATATCCCCCTGGGCAGCCCACTCTGCTTCTGTGTGAGCTGGCTTCTGAGCATCTTTCCCCCCAGGCAGTTCTCAAGAATACTCCTAATCTCCTTTCAAGATCTCTGTGTAATAAGAACTTTGTAGTACAGCTCAAAAGTCATGAGCAAGATTCTGACTATTGCATCCCTTAGAGGGCTAGCCATTACTTAGACAGAAACTATTTCAGATTTTTCCTTCATGCCTTGCAAATCGCTGCTGGATTCCACTTGTCCAGGGCCTTAAACAAGTTATTGCATATACACAAACTCCCATTGGAGGATGAATTGCCCATAAAACCATCATATAGACAAGTTGATTTAGGATACTTGATTGTGAAACTGGCCTGGTCCATTGCTAACTAGGGGTAATCATAGCAACAATGATTTTTATCACAAATGATATTAAATGCTGTTACATAAGGGCATGCCCTCATTTTATTATCCATAACCTGCCATTTTTCTGGGGGAACAAGTTCTTTGCAGAAAGTATTTAGAGAACGGAACCCATATTCCTCGTTTTAATTAGTAGATCAGTGAGCCCCTCTCTACCATCCCTACTGAACTAAGAACCTGCAGTTTTCCTGGGTTGAGGATACTCACTGAGGGGTCCTGGATTCGTTTTTCCTCTTCTAGGATAGAACTGATGTTTCGAGGTTTCTGCCGTCTGGCAATTGTGCTGAAAACTCACTGTGTTACTCTTTAGATGAGGTCAAATAAAGCCCATGGTCAGTAGAGTATTAAGCCTCAATAGACATTACCTTGAAAGAATACTTCCTGGGATTTTCTAATACTTAATACATCAACTTTATTGAAGGAATAAGAGTTTTGGTTGAGAAATAATAATTTTACAGAAAGAATGCTATGATATATTCCCCTTGCATGGTTAAAAAGAATTGTGTGGGCCCACCTATGAGAAATTATCACCGTTTATAATATTGTTATTAAAGAGAAAGGAATTATAAGCTGCAAACAAACATAAAATGAACTTACAAAATGAAAGCTCATTGTAAGTTGAGTTTGCTGCCATTTGGGACTATTAAGAGGTTCTCAGCTCTTATCCAGGAGTGTTAAAACAAGGAGGCTGAGGGGGCATAATGGCATAATGGAGTTTGTCAAAGATCTTTTTAAGGTGTTAGTGTCAAAGGAGAAATTTCCAAGCTACATGATAATTTAGATACTTATGATCAATTGGAATGAATGATTCAATAAGAATCTTGGGGGGGGGGGGCTTGCAAATTACATGCATTCCTGGAGAATCCCTGGGTGTAATGTTACTGGGGAATGTGCTGCCCAAAGAGGGAACAAAGTTGGGCGCCATCATTCTGAAATGGAAAAGCAAACTGAAATGCCTCTAGTGGCCAGGCAGGTGATGTACACATATAAAGCTTCCATCTCAGGCTACTTTTTTTTTCCCCCACTACTTTTACTGTCATGGATTCAGAGAAATTTTGTCTTCAGCAGAAGTAACAGGTACACATGAGATGATAAGTGGCAACTGACCTGGAACAGAATAGTGTAGACAAGAGGAGACAAGGAGACAACTGTGAACTGAAAATTTTAAGTCTAGAGAGCTCCAGCTAATTGTTGCTATATGAGAACAAAGGCTAACTCTTCCCAATTTTCAGGAGAATCCAGAAATTCATTTTTTTTTGAAGAACATCTGGACTTTTAAATGTTAGTACACCCACTACTCACTTATCAACATGACTAGGTTCCAAAAACCAGGTTGTTATTGAAAATTGGCATTATGTGAAAATAGAGAATGGCCACATCTGAGTACAGAAGAGAGCATGACTACAGCAATACAGAACTGTCAGATGATATCATTACATAACTGCCAAACCAATGAGAATCATAGACCAGCCAAGCTGACACATAACCTTAACCATCACAGCCAGCATTACTCTTTCCATGTACCTTGGCATTCGTTACTGCCAGACATATGTTATTCAGCACAAAATAGTTGGTTAATAGATTTTTTATTGTTATCGTAAATGCAAAATGTTGGATAACAAGATAGTGAGGAGTAAGTGTACAATTAAAACAAAGAAACACTATGTCAGCCAAACAAAACCCAACTACAGGCCTAGTCTACCTATTGGCTTATCAGGATTGTAGCTCCAGTTTGAAGGTCAGTACTATTAATTATTTAATTTAAAAAAAAAAAAAAAGGCATTGTCAGGCTGCCACTGGGTTTTGTATGTTGTTTCATTCAGTTACTGGCAATTCTGTGCCAGTGCTTGACTAATGACCTGGAATCAGCTGCTGAGATACCGTGTCTATCACCTACGAAACAAAGAGCCATTGGAAAACCTCTTCTCGCCATCTTCTGGGCAGAACTAAGTTGTGTAATAGCTGTGCTGGTCTTTCTCACACCAGACAGAAACACCAGAATAAGAACCAAGAGGTCAACCTCCCACAGAAGACATTTCCCAATAGGAAAATATTTGACAGACTTAGTACTCTTCAGTTCAGAGACCCCAGGTTTTGTGCAGACAGAAATCAAAATAAATGAAACTCTTATTGCATTTCTTGGACCAGGAATTTTACTTCAGAAGATTCTAGGAAATACACTGGACCTTCCTTTGTACTACAGTTATACTTAAACACTGAGATGTCTAGCTTAGATCTTTGAACTTGACACACCTGTGTTTGTGAATTGTGGCTCTGTGGCACCTATAAGTCATGTTCTCTTCCTGAACTTGAAATTCCAATCTTTCCAAACATCATTGGTGTGTATCAGCATTCAAGAAGCTTTCAGAGAAAAGGAGAAGAATTGATGCGATGGAAGACAGAATTAATGAGATGGAAGAAAAATACCTGAATACTTCTTTGGAAAAGGATCAATCAGAAACT